AAAGTATGTGCGTAGACCAGCCTTAGATAATTAAAAATGCCCTCAGTGCTTGGGAGGGTGCGAGATGAAGTACTCAAAGGATTGCAACATAACCAGCACTGTGATAAAGCTGAATAATGCTTAGAGCAGTGGTTACCAGGGCCGGCTCCTGCGTTTTTGCTGCCTTAAGTAGCAAAAAGAACAAAATAAAAAAAAACCCTCCACCTCAGGTGTTAGCAGTGCCCCCTAAAAAATCTTTCCGCCAAACACAGAGGCGGAGTGATGGTGCAGCCGCCGAATTGCTGCTGGCGACCAAAGAAGAGTCGCATCCCTACCGCTGAATTGCCACCGAGCGCGAAACGCGCTGTGACGGAGCGGATTGCCGCCCCAGAGCCCGACCTCCTGCTGCCCCTTTACATTTGCTGCCCCAGGCACCTACTTGGTTCGCTGGTGCTTGGAGCCGGCCCTGGCCCTACCATCTTTTCTGGGCAACTGCACGATTTATTACAAAAAGGAAAGGAGGACTTGTGGCACCTTAGAGACTAACCAATTTATTTGAGCATAAGCTTTCGTGAGCGACAGCTCACTTCATCGGATGCATCCGATGAAGTGAGCTGTCGCTCACAAAAGCTTATGCTCAAATAAATTGGTTAGTCTCTAAGGTGCCACAAGTCCTCCTTTTCTTTTTGCGAATACAGACTAACACGGCTGCTACTCTGAAACCGATTTATTACAGCTCGCACACATCACACCAATTCGTCTGATTTAGTTGGGGATTGGTCCTGCTTTGAGCAGGGGATTGGACTAGATGGCTTCCTGAGGTCCCTTCCAACCCTGATATTCTATGATTCTATGATCTGTTCCTGCCCTAACCTGTAATGAGCTTTTAGCAGTTGCAAGATGCTTGTTTTGGGATGCCAACGCTGTACTGCAGGTTGAAACTTGCACAACTGGATGGGAGGCAAGCAGTAGTAGCACTAGCTCTTGGAACAAAGGCTCCTCATTAAAATAGGAGAGGAGAGCCCCAAAAACAAGTGATAAAAGCATGAAGTATTGGTACCTCTATATGCAGCGTTGCTCGGCAAACCCTGGCTTTATGAGAGAAGACAAATCTCTCTTTTGAAGGACTTTAGTGCATTAAGATGTGCGCAGTAACTCAGAATGGCCCTCTTGTATATTTCAAGCTCCTCATAACAGGGCCTGCCCTCTTAATTTTCTACAAAAGGCCATAATAAGAATGGCCACAAACCTCACTGCATCCAGAACTAAATATAGTACTCATTTCTTCTAGCTGGTTTTCGCATACCAAGTATTTCTCTCTCACATGCACCAAGGGGCTGTCTATATTAGCCTTATTTCCCACCATTGCTGCAACTCCTCACCCCTCTCCATGAAGTCCACTGTGTCTAGCGCTGACATTTGAACCATCTACATCTAACCCTGTTCAGAGCGAGTCTAGATAGCACAGGCTGTGTCTTCCCTAGGGAAAAAGGTATATTTTTCATCAGTATTAAGCAAATCCATATGAACTAACCCACGTTAATTAATATAGGAATTTCATCAACCAGCTAAAGTAAAATTACACCTGTCTTGTCTTCAGTAGGAGTGTAACATGGGTTAGTAAATGTAGTAAAAGACTTTTTTCTCCCTAGTGAAGACCAAGCCACAGTGGTTAACACTCTGGTGATTGCCAGAGCCATGTCTACAGTAAGATTATGTCTTCACTGCAAAAAAGGTATGTTTTTCACATTGAGACTAACTGAATCAAGATACTTTAGTTATTACATCCATGGAGCTAATCAAGGAAAACCTCAGGTTTAGTGTTGTCTTTGACTAGCTATATTGACAAAAAAAAACCTACAGTGTCTTGTTTCCACTACAATTTTACACCGAGACAGCTACCTGGATGTTAAAAAACCCCCACCTTTTTTGCATGCAAGACATAGGTTAGAGCACCTTCTAAATCTAGGAACTTGGAACTTGCTAAGGTGAATCGCACCCAAGGTCCACCTAGGCCAGGATCCTGTCTTTGAAAGTGGCCCGTGCCAGACGCTTCAAAAGAACATGTAAGAACCCTGCAGTAGGCAGATGTGAGATAATCTGTTGTCCCCAGATTAGGCTTCATCTTGGTCTCTAGTGATTAGAGGTTGGTTTAAATCCTGAAGCTTGAGGTTTACATCCTCTTCAAATTTTTGTTATTAATTATAATGCTGGATAGTCTTGTTCTAGTGTAAAAAAGGACGCAAACAAACAAACCTTAATTCAACCCAACATTTACTCCTCCCTGCAGAGACGGAAGAGAGAGAGAGATGTTATATCTTTTTTAACTATGGTGATGGAGAGCAATATAAGAACCAGGATGGGTAGATATACACGCTCTAGAAATAATAAAATATTTTTTCTATTAGAGGCTGTCAGAACCTCCTTGGAATTTTGTAGGTTATGCTGTGAAAATCTATGGAAAATACTGTACAGATGCAGCCAACCACTGTCATAAACCACTCCCAGAAACCCAGTACAAATGATAAAAATGCAAAAGTAAAATAAATATCAGCACAACATCCAAATACAATATTTAACAATATAAAATAATTCCAACAATTACTCTAGGATTGTTACTGTAACTTTCATACCTATGTGTTTTGTGTTTTTACACATACAACGGTTCATCAGCAGGGTGTGAACCTACAATATTCAGTACAGACCTTTTCCAATTCAGCAATAGGAGTAACTGGTAGGTGAAAGCATTCTGCTACCCTGTGTGGATTAGCTCTCTGTGGATTAGGGAGACACAACACACACATTGCCAATGGGCTGCAAGACTATTTGCATGACAGCAGAAGAATGCTGGGCATCAGGATTCTTGGTTTCTATTCCTGGCTCTGGAAGCAGGTTTGTGGTCTTGTGATTACAGTCCGCATAGGGAAATGTATCAACACCTATTTGGTTCATCCAGAACGACTGAATCAGGACCCCAGATGTGAGAGTATGAGCATCTACCAATTCAACTACAAAACCCCAAAAAGAAAAGGAGTACTAGTGGCACCTTAGAGACCAACCAATTTATTTGAGCATAAACTTTTGTGAGCTACAGCTTCTGCTCAAATAAATTGGTTAGTCTCTAAGGTGCCACAAGTACTCCTTTTCTTTTTGCGAATACGGACTAACACGGCTGCTACTCTAAAACCCCAAAAGATTTCTGAGAAGTGCTAGATAAGAGCCAGGGGTGCCAGAACAGGGCGGGCCATGTCCCCCCCCCTTTTAAAAGTGGGAGGGTTATGGCCTCCCACTTTTTACCGGCCATAAGGGCGAGCGACTGGGGAAGGAGGTGGAGAACAGTGGTGCTGGAACAATTTTTATAGTGGGGGTGCTGAGAGCCATTGAACCAAACTGTATACCCTGTGTTGTGTATAATGGACTCCACTTCAAGTCATGATGTGCGGCCGCACCCCCAGAACCCTTAGTTTTAGCACCTATGGTGGACAGGAGCAAGTGGGAGGGCAGGGTCATGGGGGAGAAGAGGTGGTGAGGGAGTGGGGCAGCGGGAGAAGAGACAGTGCAGGGGCAGGGTCTTGGGGGAAGGGGCATTATGGAGGCAGAGGGCTTGGGGACAAGGGACATTGCGGGCGCGGAGCCTTGGGGAGAAGGGGTGGCATGGCACAGGGGGCGGGGGCCACAGTTCAGGTGCCTGTAGCCCCCCTCCCTCCCACAGGGCATTTCCGACGCTCCTGATAAGAGCTAGTATCATTTATGTGGAAGTAGTAGCAGAGTCCTCAGTCTCTATATTAAGACCATGGCTACACTATGATGGGATGTTAGATGGAGTGGGATCTGAGTTACCCAGGAAAGAATTTTCTGTAGTATCTGGCTGGTGAATCTTGCCCATATGCTCAGGGTTTAGCTGATCGCCATATTTGGGGTCCGGAAGGAATTTTCCTCCAGGGCAAATTGAAAGAGGCCCTGGAGGTTTTTCGCCTTCCTCTGTAGCATGGGGCACGGGTCACTTGCTGGAGGATTCTCTGCTCCTTGAAGTCTTTAAACCATGATTTGAGGACTTCAATAGCTCTGACATAGGTGAGGATTTTCGCACGAGTGGGTGGGTGAGATTCTGTGGCCTGCATTGTGCAGGAGGTCAGACTAGATGATCATAATGGTCCCTTCTGACTTTAGTATCTATGTATCTATGTATGTAACAGAATTAAGTTTGCACAAGCAAATTTAATTCTGGCTTTTCCTAACTTTTGAGTGTTTGATTTTACAACCTTAATGTTCTTTTAACATGGGGTTTTTGGATATCACTATTGATTTAGATCAGTATTTCCCAAACTTGTTCCGCTGCTTGTTCAGGGAAAGCCCCTGGTGGGCTGGGCCGGTTTGTTTATCTGCCGCGTCCGCAGGTTCAGCTGATGGGGGCTGCAGGAAGCGGCAGCCAGTACGTCCCATTGGCCTGCAGCGGCGAACCGCAGGACCCAAGATCGGCCGAACCTGCGGACACAGCAGGTAAACAAACTGGCCCAGCCGGCCAGGGGCTTTCCCTGAACAAGGGGCGTCCCAACTTTGGGAAACACTGATTTAGATTATGGTGAGCACCCAAAATGTGCAAAGTGCTTTCCAAACATACAGGATGACGGTCCCTGCCCAGGACCACTTACAATCTAAAAGACAGATGAAGGGTGGGGAAGTGGATGTGAAATACAAACAGAGACCTGGATTCAACAGCTTACTTAAGCACATACTTAACTTAAAGCACATAAATGAATTGCCCCATAAAAGTGGGGCTACTCATTATTAAGGGCGGGCACATTTTTAGGTTCCAAGCCTGATCAGGGCTAGAGTAAGCAGAGTGATGACAGGCACATGGCTTGTTAATTACAAGGTTTTGTTTTTAAGTTAAACATGCTGAATCCTGATGCAGCACAAAGTATGAGGTCTGAGGGAAAGGAGCATGTTACTGTAGAGATGGATAAACTTCCTTGCTACATAGTATAGGGGAATTGGTCGGTTGTGTGTGTGATTTCACCATGTCTGGTCACGGTAAGTGTGGTAAAGGCTTGGGGAAGGGAGGTGCCAAGCGCCATCATAAAGTGCTTTGGGATAACATCCAAGGTACTACCAAGCCAGCTATTCGTCGCTTGGCTCGATGCGGCGGGGTGAAACGTATTTCGGGGTTGATCTACGAAGAGACCCGTGGAGTGCTGAAGGTGTTCTTGGAGAATGTGGTCCGCAATGCTGTCCCTTACACTGAACATGCCAAGCGAAAGACTGTAACAGCTATGGATGTGGTTTATGCTCTGAAGCGCCTGGGTTGTACTCTCTATGGTTTTGGTGGCTAATCGGGTCACTAAAGTCAACAGGTTAGGGAATCTGTGGGAAGGAGATCTGCATTCAGAGGGATCATAGAGGTCTGGTTGGGCCCTGAATAAGGACTTCAGGTAGATTCTGCACACATTACATAGTACCTTCCTCAGGCCACCATTCCGCTGAAACCAGTAAGGTGACTTGTGAAATGGAGGAAAACTCAGCGCAAGCAAGGTAATACAATTTCATATAATTTTGGTCTTTAGGTTGAAAAGAGAGTTAGAAAAACCCCACACTGAAGATCTCTTTAATGTATTATTTTGTGCTACTCTTTGAGCGAACTATTATTAATGGTGGATGGTATCTAATTAAAAAGAGTGGTTCTCCGAAGAAAATCATGCTGAGTATCAGAAAAATAAAACCAAAACCATTAAGATTTGCAGCAAGAATTCTAGCCAGTGCATTAGTCTATAGCAATTCATTTCAAATTGTGTAGGTAGCACGTAGGTGCTTTTCTAGGCGTTAAGCCAAAACCTGAGAACACATTACTACATCATAATTCGCAGCCTATCAGGCCTTATTGCTTAATTATGTGATGGCTTTTGAAAAATGAAGTGATTTGATTGGCTAAGGATGGTGCTATGTCTATTAACTGGAGATGGACGAATACTGCAAAAATATTTGAATTAGAAGAAATGAATTTCCTTTGATGGTATTTGTAACCCACTTTTCTTTGCCTTTTTGGGAGCATTCATGTGAGGGAAGTTGTATTTGCAAGGATGTTCGTGAAACAGGACAGTGTCATGAATGCTTTTGTGAATTCACAAGTTTCCAAGTTGGGAGGGCTTACAGGGCAGAATATAGAGGAAGAGGACTCAGCCTTGGTGGGTGGAAGAGGAGGAAGTGGGAAGAAGAGTGAGAGGCGTAGAATCCACAGAAGGAGAGACAGCCCTGAGCAGGTGTGAATTACATGCTGTGGCTTGGAGGGAGAAAAAGAGTGTGATGGGGGAAGGGAGAAAAAAGTGATGAGGGAGAGTAGAGGAAGACCAGGAATGGGAGAGAGGTGATTATAGAAACCTCATTAAGGATGGCGCCTGACAACATCTGCATTTCAGTCTAGGCACTCATTCACACTCAGAAGGGTTCACTATCAAAGCAGCATCTGTTTCTATAGGTTTCTGGTGAGACAGTCCTCAGCACCTGATTGCTGGAAAAATGCAACAGAGTAGGTGGAGTTCTGAGTGGAGCAACAAAATGACTTAGGGCTTGGCTACACTTGCAGATGTAGAGGGCTGGGAGTTAAACCAGCCTTCAGAGACCGCAGCAGGGAAAACGCTGCCGTGTGTTTACACTGTCAGATTCAAGCACACTGGCGTGGCCACATTAGCAGCTCTTGCAGCACCACAAAGAGCAGTGCATTGTGGTAGCTATCCCAGTGTGCAGGTGGCTGCAGCGTTCTTTTCAAATGGGGGGCAGGGGGGGCGTGGAGTGTGACAGGGAGTGTGTTGTGTGTATGTGGGGGGAGAGACAGTGTCTTTTGGGGGGCATAGAGTGTGTCAGCATGCTGCCTTGTAACTTCAGACAGCAGCAGACCCCCCTCCCCCCGCCTGTCTCTCTCTCACACACTCACAGCAGCAGTAATGGTTGCTTTGTCCCAGAGCAGATAAGCACGCTGGCTGTCAGACACGGCGCCTTGAAAGGGGATATCCGCATGCCTGCAGCCGAGTTCGAAAGAATGAGAAGAGCAGCCACGTGACTTCAGGGGATTATGGGATGTTTCCGGGGGCCAATCAGAGCGCAGTAATGCCACACCTCATCCACACTGACACCGGGGCATTTCAGCCGGGGTACAGCAAGCGTTATGCCTCTTGTGGGGGTGGATTACCAGGAGCACTCCAGCGGCAGAGTCCAGGCGCTCTAAGTGCCTTGCTGGCGTGGACAGGTCGTGAGTTGGGGCACCTGGGGCTGCTTTAATGCACTCTACCTTGCAAGTGTAGCCAAGCCCTAAAGGGCAGTGCTTAATTTGTAATGAAAGCGGTGCTGGGGCTCAAGCAATTAGGTGCTGCAGCTCAAGCAATTTTTTTTACATTTATACCCTACGCAGCAAGCCCAAAGGTGCCAGGGCTCAGCCCTAGCACAAATTAAGCACTGCTAAACGGGCTGGGACTGTGAGGGAAAACTAAATGAATTAGGTAATATAGTGTATAGGAGGAGTCCCATCCTCCTTGCCAATTGTTTATTTTGCTCTGTACACAACAAAAACAATAAAGGCACGGGCACAATTGTGCCCCAGCGACACCCTGTACCTCAAAGTAGCACCCTGGAACCCCCATATTCACAACTGTCATGTGATTGGTTTCAGAGTAACAGCCGTGTTAGTCTGTATTCGCAAAAAGAAAAGGAGTACTTGTGGCACCTTAGAGACTAACCAATTTATTTGAGCATGAGCTTTCGTGAGCTACAGCTCACTTCATCGGATGCATACCGTGGAAACTGCAGCAGACTTTATATACACACAGAGATCATAAAACAATACCTCCTCCCACCCCACTGTCCTGCTGGTAATAGCTTATCTAAAGTGATCATCAAGTTGGGCCATTTCCAGCACAAATCCAGGTTTTCTCACCCTCCACCCCCCCACACACAAACTCACTCTCCTGCTGGTAATAGCCCATCCAAAGTGACAACTCTCTACACAATGTGCATGATAATCAAGGTGGGCCATTTCCTGCACAAATCCAGGTTCTCTCACCCCCTCACCCCCCTCCAAAAAACACACACACAAACTCACTATCCTGCTGGTAATAGCTCATCCAAAGTGACCACTCTCCCTACAATGTGCATGGTAATCAAGGTGGGCCATGTCCAGCACAAATCCAGGCTTTCTCGCCCCCCCCCTTTTTTTTTTTCCGGGACACACACACACATACACAAACTCACTCTCCTGCTGGCAATAGCTCATCCAAACTGACCACTCTCCAAGTTTAAATCCAAGTTTAACCAGAACGTCTGGGGGCGGGGGGGGGGGAGTAGGAAAAAACAAAGGGAAATAGGCTACCTTGCATAATGACTTAGCTACTCCCAGTCTCTATTTAAGCCTAAATTAATAGTATCCAATTTGCAAATGAATTCCAATTCAGCAGTTTCTCGCTGGAGTCTGGATTTGAAGTTTTTTTGTTTTAAGATAGCGACCTTCATGTCTGTGATTGCGTGACCAGAGAGATTGAAGTGTTCTCCGACTGGTTTATGAATGTTATAATTCTTGACATCTGATTTGTGTCCATTTATTCTTTTACGTAGAGACTGTCCAGTTTGACCAATGTAAATGGCAGAGGGGCATTGCTGGCACATGATGGCATATATCACATTGGTGGATGTGCAGGTGAACGAGCCTCTGATAGTGTGGCTGATGTTATTAGGCCCTGTGATGGTGTCCCCTGAATAGATATGTGGGCACAGTTGGCAACGGGCTTTGTTGCAAGGATAAGTTCCTGGGTTAGTGGTTCTGTTGTGTGGTATGTGGTTGTTGGTGAGTATTTGCTTCAGGTTGCGGGGCTGTCTGTAGGCAAGGACTGGCCTGTCTTCCAAGATTTGTGAGAGTGTTGGGTCATCCTTTATGATAGGTTGTAGATCCTTGATAATGCGTTGGAGGGGTTTTAGTTGGGGGCTGAAGGTGACGGCTAGTGGCGTTCTGTTATTTTCTTTGTTAGGCCTGTCCTGTAGTAGGTAACTTCTGGGAACTCTTCTGGCTCTATCAATCTGTTTCTTCACTTCCGCAGGTGGGTACTGTAGTTGTAAGAAAGCTTGACAGAGATCTTGTAGGTGTTTGTCTCTGTCTGAGGGGTTGGAGCAAATGCGGTTGTATCGCAAAGCTTGGCTGTAGACGATGGATCGTGTGGTGTGGTCAGGGTGAAAGCTGGAGGCATGTAGGTAGGAATAGCGGTCAGTAGGTTTCCGGTATAGGGTGGTGTTTATGTGACCATTGTTTATTAGCACTGTAGTGTCCAGGAAGTGGATCTCTTGTGTGGACTGGACCAAGCTGAGGTTGATGGTGGGATGGAAGTTGTTGAAATCATGGTGGAATTCTTCAAGGGGTTCTTTTCCATGGGTCCAGATGATGAAGATGTCATCAATATAGCGCAAGTAAAGTAGGGGCTTTAGGGAACGAGAGCTGAGGAAGAGTTGTTCTAAATCAGCCATAAAAATGTTGGCATACTGTGGGGCCATGCGGGTATCCATAGCAGTGCCGCTGATCTGAAGGTATACATTGTCCCCAAATGTAAAATAGTTATGGGTAAGGACAAAGTCACAAAGTTCAGCCACCAGGTTAGCCGTGACATTATCGGGGATAGTGTTCTTGACGGCTTGTAGTCCATCTTTGTGTGGAATGTTGGTGTAGAGGGCTTCTACATCCATAGTGGCCAGGATGGTGTTATCAGGAAGATCACCGATGGATTGAAGTTTCCTTAGGAAGTCAGTGGTGTCTTGAAGGTAGCTGGGAGTGCTGGTAGCGTAGGGCCTGAGGAGGGAGTCTACATAGCCAGACAATCCTGCTGTCAGGGTGCCAATGCCTGAGATGATGGGGCGCCCAGGATTTCCAGGTTTATGGATCTTGGGTAGCAGATAGAATACCCCAGGTCGGGGTTCCAGGGGTGTGTCTGTGCGGTGTGTATATAAAGTCTGCTGCAGTTTCCACGGTATGCGTCCGATGAAGTGAGCTGTAGCTCACGCTCAAATAAATTGGTTAGTCTCTAAGGTGCCACAAGTACTCCTTTTCTTTTTGTCATGTGATTGTGATCTATTTTGTACAAAGTACTCCTTGTGAGGCATCATTTAAAAAGTCTTCATCAGTTGAACCTTAATACCCTGTGGAACTGTATGTACTATCGTTGTACGTGAAGTTGTGAAGTGTTGCTATATGTGTTACTGAAATATGTGGTGAGGTTGGGAATGCTCAGGGCTGACCTTTCAGTTGCAACAAAGGAGCAGCCATCACTGGCCAGACAGGCGCTAAGCCCATCAAGAAGAATCCACT